AGGTTGATGCGCAGCCGTTTGCCAGGTCTTTGGAAATTCGGCAAGGACTTGTTGCGATCTAATTTTTTAAAATCTAGCGATCTCGAGTCCTGTTGTATGATCAGTACTCGCGCAAGCGCGCCATGTCCTGTTTCGTCTTCATGGTGTAGCTCTACTTGGTGAAATACAACTCATCTTGATTTGTTGGTGTTGACCTCCCAAAATCTTGGTTTTCGCTGTACTATTTCTGATCTAAGTTTGAATGGTTCTAACCTTCGGGTAAATTGTAGTCTTAAGGTACTGTTGGCAGTCCTCACCATCAGATTTCGACTGCCTGCCTCAGTCTAATTGTTCCACCACAAGTTCTCAACTTGTGCTCACTGAATGTGTGGTAAGTTTTTTTTTTCTCAATTTCTTGTCTTTTTGCTTATTGCAACATCTAGGTACATGCGAACGTCATTTGCAAGGGCCGGCGATCGTTCAACAAGCGTGTCAGGTATCTTTCAAGGGGCTTAAATTTATTCTCATTCTATCCGTTCGTCTAGAGTTATTATGGAATTCTATTCTTTCCTTGCTCTTTTTGATTGCTAATTACTCTGTTCTCAGATCATGGAGTTCAGAAGCTCAACTAAACTTTTTACTAGATAAATAAGCAAGCTATGTTGTCTTTTTACAGATGTAACTGGTCTTCTGGAATCAGCTGGGCAAAGGCAATGTTCCTTTCGGTGACGTTAGGTGTGTTTCTATAAAATTATCCAATTCATAAATCTAGTTCCCGTTTGAAGCTTTAGAAACCTGACTTTCAATTTTCTTTCGAAAGCTCTAGAGTTGTTACATGAGCATCCGTTTCATGAAATTGCATCCCATTGTTTCGTATCCATTTTTTGCCTTCAGGAGGATTTGGAGCCGATCGATTCTATCTTGGGCTATGGAAGTCGGCTATCGGTAAACTGTTCAGTTTCGGAGGACTGGGCATTTGGACGATCGTTGATGTTGTATTAATAGCAACAGGATACATTCGTCCGGCGGACGGTTCACTATATATTTAATTACGTTGTGCCAATTTATGAGAAATCGGGTATGCCTAATAGGCTTAGGTCTTACATTTTGGGTGCAAAACTTTCAGTGAAAGAGGGGGGGGGGGTGCCTGCGGATCTGCGAAATGAATCAAATGCGTATCGCTTCGTAAAATGGGGCGAGCGTAGAGTCTGCAAATCCTTCTGATGGATGCATGTTTTTCAAAGGTGAAGCGGCCCATCATTTCGCATTTTCGATGCCACGTCGCGTCATCTTGCTTTTACGCTAAGGGGCGGGGCGTTCTGCTCCCGCGTTCGCGTGTGCGCAGATTACCGCGTTCGATACGCATTTAATCATTTTCACAGATTCCAACATCTGTGGATTCGAAAACTGTGAGCATTGGAAGAGACCTCTTCCTTCACCTGGCTAATTATTTAGAAATCGAGCATATTTCTCTCCCTACTTCACTGGTTTTGCAACCTATTTTAAATTGAACTGATATTTTTGTACACATGAAAATGAATGTTCTAAATATTTCTGTGTTCATTTGAGCACTGTTATCCGCACAATGCATTATCTTTTCAAACGCAAGGTGGCTTCTGCCATAGAAAAACTTAAAATAGTATTCAGGTTTCTGCACGATGAAGAAAAATTTCATCTTGCACGCAGATTTATAGCAAGTCATATTAGGAAGTACTGCATGCAACAGTCATTACTCCGAAATAGGTTCACAAAGAGGGTTAAATTTCTCTGCTACTCCGGAGGTTTCAGAGGTGGTCCAAAAACGTAGAAGGCAAGTTTGTGCACAAATTTATACGTAAAACAATATGTATTGACCTTGCTCCCAACTTGCGAACATCGGTTTAATGTAGAGAAAAGAATCATTGCAACATTTATAACAAAACAACATGCACTGAAAACAACTTAGAGCTCAATCGGTTTAACGTGCTGACGAAGTTCGGTTGCAATTCGATCCAAATCCTTTCTTCCCTATAAACAATTCAAATAGCCCACAGCGACGAATTTTGACATTGATGCAAAAAAAAACGGTGACCTCACCACAAATATTTGTTCCCTCATTGAAAATAACCTAATAGTCTGATAATGGCTGCCCAAAATAACAAAAATGTTTTAGATCTAGGAAACAAATTACATTACCTGCTTTGACAAGACTCGACCCTTGCCATCTGCATGTTTCTCAACCCATTTGATAGCTTCGAGGGTCTGCAAGGCCTTGCGCACTACGGAGCCGGATCCTTTCTTGAAATGGTTAGGTCGAGAACCACGCCCTTTCTTTCCACCGAAAACAGTTCGCAGAGCACCAACTCCTGCAAAATCAGGTATGCGATTAACTTTTGCCGGAAACAGCCATAAAATCGGAGAGCATTAACGCTTTGGTGACCGCCATGATATGAGGAGAGGCAATCAAATCCCTTGCCAGCAACGGTAACATTCCCTCACCAGCTGCATCGCCTACTACTACACCAGAATCGTGCGAAACCCTTCCCATTGTGCATTCGACTCAACAACCCCATAAAAATTCAACGATTTTCTACATAAAACAGCCTCTACTCCAAAATTACAGATGTTTGCAGCCCAAAGCCGACTTCTGATTGACTCAGTGTTGAAGGTACTTCCAATCATACAAAAAGGCTCACCAGCTGGAGATCGAATGTAGAGACGTCTAGCAATGCTGGCGGTGCGAATGTAGTACCAATCAGGATCAACGGGAGCAAGCTGCCGATTAGTTCCAAGTTTGACGATGTCTGACCACTCGGGAACCTTCACCTTGCCACTCTTTTTGAGGAAGTGAGCGATTTGCTTCACAGCTTCATGCTGGTCCACGTCTTTTACGCTGGTGGCTTTCACCATATTACCTGCAAGAGAAAAGGCATCATTGATCAAAGAGAAATTACGGAGACTGGCGACGGATTTGCTCTGAAGCCGACAGTTCTCAATAGCTACAAATGGGTGGTTGATACGCAAGGTTGATGCGTTGGAGGTGCAAAGCTGA